AAGGGCAGAGAAGTGGCTGTGAAACCCCAGAAATAAAAGTGATCTAATTAATCACTAGATTAATATAGGAAATTTTTATTCTTTCTGTATCTCTAAAATGGTATCATTTTTGTGGCAATAAGTAGAGAATGTACTTATTTTAATCTGCTTTGAAATTCTTGGTGGAATTTTATATGCTAGATGACAAAACTACAATATCCATGACAGTCTTACTTGTCAAAAGTTATAACTGAATATTTTTTAATTGAATCATTACTGCTTTCAGTCAATTGTGTGGAAGTTAGCAAGAATTACAAATTACTATGGATAATTATCCTTTTCATTTTCTTGATTCTGTTTCTGTTTCTGTAATTTCCATTTTTGCATTGTGTTCCTATTATAAATAAGCTATAATGTTATTTATAGTATCATGCATTCCCAGATGTATTAGTTATTTTTCTGAGTCTGTGATAAAACGACATAGCAAAAAAAAAAAAAAAAAAAAAAAAGAAAAGAAAATAAAAAAGAAAAAAAACAAAAACCTTAGGTGAAAAGGGGTTTGCTTTAGCTCTGGCCCTATCATACTAAATTTAGCATACTGAGTGAAGGTATTGCAATGGACAGAAAAGCATGGAGATAGAAGCAGAAAGCAGTCTGGTGGCATTTTCATCTACTCAGAGGAAGAGAGAACACGCATAGGAAGTAACCTAGGCTAGAAGTCAAAGATCATTCCTGGTGGCCTATTTGTGCCAAATGTTCCATAGTTTTGCCAAAGAGCACCACCAATGGCAGAGCAAGTTTTCAAACAGTTGACTCTAAGGAGGACATTTCTTTAAAACCCACCATTCCCATCCTCACTAAATAAGTGGTCATTGATTTCCTTTCAAAGTAAGTTTACCAATTTTATGAAAGATACATTACTACGTTACCTTAAAAAGTACATCTCCCTACTGATTGCCAGCCTTATAAAATGAGAAAACAAGGATCATTCAGAGACTTCCTTAAATTCCATTACTCAGTTAGGTTTTAGTGTTTGTTCCGATAGCATTGTTTGTATTTCTTCCAGAAATATGTATTAATATACACAGCTCTTGGCAAGGTGAAAAGGGTGGCAAAATGACCACATTTTTTTAGTCACTCATAGGTTTTTAAAAAGATATTTGTTTAGGCCTTTCTTTCCATATGTGCACTTCGTAGTTTTGTTGGAGCATCTTCCCTTGGGGAAGGAAACCATATTTAAAGGAAGCATTTGCATCAAAGAAATCATAGTACCTACTCATGCCTGCTCAAGGACAAATATATATCAAAATGAAAATGCTCTTTGTCCTGTGTTGAGGTTAAATACTTACCACTCCTCAGGAAAGCTTACATTTCTTTTGTGCTATGTGTCTGTGAATGTTTTATGAATCCAATTGAGCTGAGGAATCAAGTTTCTTTGACAGACAGAGTTTATTCAGAGGAATAAAGATACAGCAGAAAGTTATTGATTTTTGAGGGATCTACGCCTTGTGAAAAATTAACCAGACATTCCTTCAGGATCGATACGATTACACTTGCTGTTTCAGAGCTGTAACCCAGACTCTGACTGAAGAATTTCTCCATTGCAGAGGGCACTGGTAGTTTCAGAGGTCTTTTGAAAACTACAGAGGGTGGGTTTCCTTGTTTATTCTTTCCCCTCTCTCTTTCCATTGCATATTTCCTAGTGCTGCTTGGTACCCTGCTTGCAACAAAATAAATTCCAATATTTTAAGCATTCAGGTGAGACCTGAGGCTCTCTCTCCAATACAGCGACTTATCATCTCAGAATTACCCCCCTGAATCTATTTACAGGGTTCATAGAGGGTAGAATAATAAAGTTAAAATTGTCTTACCATGGAGTTTTGACGCTGCTTTCCAATTTTGGTTAGCACTCTGCTCTCTGATACTTACCAATTCTGGTTACTTTTTCATTTCTTCTTTGTTTCTCACAGTTGACAATGGGCTGCCCTTTCCCATCTCTCCTCAGAGGCCCCATTGTATAGCACTGAATCAATATAAATTTATTTATGTATTCCTATAATTCTGTCTCATTCTCCAGCAGGTAGTTGAAGTCTATTGCCAATACCTAAACTACACAGAGGACCTCTCAACCCTGCAGTCAAGGAGCTCACTGATTAAGAGAATTTCTCCAAGAGGGGAGGGGCACCTGGCGTTTCAGAGGAATTTCTTTTCATATACCATGTGCTTTTGAATGGCATTTGTCACTCATAGTCTTAATGCATAAAACCCAAGTATCCAAAGCAATATTATTATATGATGCCAACCACAAAAATATCTATAAGCAACGTTTAGAGAAATAACTTGAGTTATATTTTGAGAAGTAGACTACTTAATGTCTTCCTTGATTCCTGAAAACCAATTTATTATACTTCTTCTGAAAACACACACTTAGATGAGACACTTGACTTTGATCCTTTGCTGCTACTTTAGTCCTTGATCTCTCCTCCCTCATTCCTTTCCTGTCACATCAGCAATATTTCGTGATGTCTTCCCGACTACTTTTCCTGAGTGTCGGATGCCCAATTCTTTTGTGCTCATTATGATGGACAAGATGTAGCCCAGTGCATTTATACCTTAGTGTTAGGTAACCCTACAGTGGTTTAGTAAATTCCACAGAAGCATATTTTCAACAGATATGCACACTACTCATGCTTTGTATTGTTGATGTTAAAAGAGTTTCCTATTTGTATTAATATAATTATATCATTTTTCTCTTCCTACTCTCCCAACTTTCAAATGTATCCCCTTGCTCATTTTCAAATGCAAGATCCCTTTTTGGTTAATTATACTGGGCATATATAATTATATGTACTATGTAATATAATTATACCAGATATATATGTGTATATGTATATATATTCGCATATGTGTATATATATTTATTTATATACATATGTGTATATGTATGTGTGTATGCATTTATATAGTCCTAAATACATAAATGCAGCATATTCAGTTCACAATGTTCCTTGTGTGTGCAAGTTTTCAGGACAACGTTGAGTAAACAGATGTTTTCTGGGGAACACTGTTACTCCTAATCTCAGCATTCCTTAGTGTCCTGTTTTTCTTTGTCTAAGGATACAGCCTCTGAAGCTATTCCCCTTCTGCATTAGCGTGTTTAATGTTGTCTTTCTTGCTTTCTAGGGTGATGTTAAATAGAGGCAAACTCTCCTTCCACTGCTTCTCCTATATTCTGAGATTTTAGGTCTATGCCACCAAGTTCTTGAATAATTGTAAGTGTAATACATTTTCTGTAGTAGTTTACTAGGAAGAATTTATCTTCTCTACTCTTTTATTGAGCCTGTGATTCATCCAATCTTTGAGCAAATATAAAACGTAAGATATATATAATTGTTATTTACAATAAAGGTGTACACTGACGTGAAAATGAACTGTATTCTTGAAGATGTCATTCTATATTAGCAAAAACCTGAAAAGCATACTTAGCCTTATCACATAAATAAATTCAATTTCAATGAAAATTATAAAGAAGGAAAGGTGTAGTTGAAAGTAATGAGAGAATTGTCCGTGCCAGGGAACACTGTGGCAATTATCCAAAAGAATGAGAGATTGAGAGCAATCATCAATGAAGGATGGCTTGGAATATGATGTGGAGAGGCAAGGAACACAGAAGTGTCTTACAGGAGTAAAAACCTTAAGAAGGCTAGAATCTAAGGCTGGACACTATGGGGAGAGAATAAATTAGTAGTCTTATCCAGTGCTGGGTCCTGCCTGCTACAATACCAATGTGAAAGGTAGGATATACCCATTGGTTAAATAGTGGCATTCCTGCCATGGGGATAACCAACTACTCTTTGATTGCTTCTGAGGCCTGCTCAACAAAAGAAAATGCTTTTCTGCTCCTGTGAATCTGGCTAAAAAAAAGAAAGATAGAGAGAGAAAGAGAGGAGAAAGAAATTGAAGGGAGGGGAGGGAGAGAGAAAGGGAGGGAAGGAGAGAGAACTAATTATGGCTAGAGAGGTCATAGGCTCAGGTCTCTGAGATAAACTAATATAATTGTTTTGCTAAACTGTCATGTGGTCAAAATAAAGTCTACAAATTTATGTTTATAGTAGTAGCTTCTTACTCTTGCCATACTTCTTCAGAGATGCTTCCTTTTGCAATTGGCAGTGGTTAATAGTGAGCCTCATAGCTAGTATCTTTCTTATTTAGTTTATTCTTCCCGTCCATGACACTTAAAATGTATTCCCCTATCTTTTCTTCTTATTGTTAAGACATGTTCTATTTCTTTTGGCTTAAATAAAATAAGATACTATATCAGATTAAGGTGGATATATTTTATGAGCTTTTTATCTTCTAGAAACTATGGAGAACAATTCTTAACAGTTACAGTTGAGTGTAACTGTTAATAAAAGGAAACTTGCAGTGAATATTTGTTCTGTTTTTCTAGGCTATAATTTCTCATTATTCACACATATCTTTTGACAATGCCTATGGCTATTTCTGGATATGACAATTCAAAGTTTGTCCTACTTTTTGTTTTCTCTTTTATGTCCTTGGCATGTAGTTAATGACTTCTTAAATCTTTAGTATAGTATTAGAGGAAACAGATTCCCAATATTGAATCCCATATGCCAAGTATCTCAAGCTTGTTGGTATAACAATTTGTTAAATACTAGTGGCATCACTTGGTGCTCTCATAATAGCGTAAATGCCTCCACTTTATTCATTTTTATATATTTATTTTGTTGTAAGTTTGTGTGTGGGAGGTGGATGAAAGGAAGAATGCATGTGAGTTTCTCTGTGTATATGTATTGAAGGTCGGAGGTTAACTTCAGGTGGTGCTCCTCAGAAGTTCTCCACTTTGGTGTGTGAAACGGGGAATGTCACTGGTATCTACTGCCCCCCTGACTAGGCTTTTCTGGCTGAGCAGTAATCCCCAATGATCAGTCTGTTTCAGTCTGCGCAGCACTGAGATTGCAAGAGTGTGTCACCGACCCCCGTTCAAACATGTATTTTTTTTTTTTTTTTGACGGTCCTAAATTGTTTATTGGGGTATTAATTGTACAAACATTACGTATATTAGCGGTAACGGTGGAGCTGCAGAGTGTTGCGCCTTCTCCAGGCTGCACGGCGAGAGCCACCAATAGTGTGGTGGAACTTGTGGCCCTTTCCAAGGCCTCGGCTCTTGCGGCCTGCAGACGTCAGCCCACGCATCTCTCTGTGCTTGTGGACCGGTTTGGTGATCCATTGGGTGTCAGGGTTTCTTCTGATAGCTTTATGGAATGGATCAATGAGGATAACCTCAAAAAATTTGTATGTGGAATCTTCGCCAACCCAGTAAGAATTCAGGACTCTCAGAGCCCCACAGTGGCGTCCAGCTCTCTCCTCAGCAACAGACTGAAGGCTTCGGGCAAACTTTAGCTGGTTCACACCATGATGGACAGGCTTGCCGTAGGTCGCACCCTTGGGCACCGGGCGTTTGCGGCCACCACGGCGGACGCGAATCCTGTATATGACGTAACCTTGCTTGGCCTTGTAGCCCAGCCTCCGCGCTTTGTCGGGCCGGGTGGGGCGTGGAGCCCGGTGCAGCGCGGACAGCTTTCGGTACTGCCAGCAGCGGACCCTCAGCAGAAAGCGCATCACGTCCGACTGCTTCTTCCGCCACAGCTCCTGGATGTACTTGTATGCGCCCATCTTGGCTCACCTGATGGCCGCCGTCAGAGGAAAGGAAGAAGCCTTTCTCTCAAACATGTATTTTCTAAGAGTGCTCAATGTCGGGTCCTCACGAAGCATGTGCTTTGCTAACAGAACTGTTTTCCTGGGTCACAAATCCCTCTGCCTTGGAGAACTGGTTCAAATTCTATCCGCCATTTAGTTCGGAACAAACTCCTTTCAGAAGGAATTCTCTTGAAAATATCTATCATCAGGGGAAATTGAATAGAAAGGGGCCAATACTGCTTACAAGGCTTTTTCTTGTTTATAAATCAGAGTTGTAAAGTAAATGTTCTGCAATATTTCCTGGTGCATTGCAGTCCTGAAAATGTGCCACCAACTTTGTCCTTAGGAAGGGAAAGGGAATGTTCACTCTATAGAGCAGACCTACTTTTATATTTAGATGTCACATAGCAGGTTTTTTTTTTTTTCAAATGAAGATTTCATGCCCACACCATAAAAGAACACATTGAACTAGAGTTTATTTTTCATTTGCTGATATATCTTTGGTGGGGTTTGTTTGTGGTTTTTTTTGTTGTTGTTGTTGTTTTTATTTGGGGGTGTTTGGGTTTTTGTTTTCCTTCTCTTTCTGTATATATATTTTTTCGTCCTGCAATGTAGGAACAAAAATTCCTTGCAATCTCACCTAAAAAATGTCTTTGATGAAGTATAGATTGCTAAGAGATGGACAAAGACATTTCAGCAGAATTCAAGCTAGTACAAATTAAATTTGCAAAAGGGACTGATTCATTTATTTAGTATTCTATTAGACACAAAATGTCAACAGAGCATAGTCCGACAGTTTGCTGTCTCATGGGATGTCAGAACAAACAGAAACGAGTTAAGAGTTCATGCATATACAAATACAAACATATATATAATCATGCAAGTGCTGTTGCATGGTCATGGATGTTTTGTTTTTTACCATTAATTATTACAGTATTACAAACAATAATATTTAATGATGTCATAGAAAAACCATTGTATTTGTCAAAATTCATGATCATAAATTGATTGAGTTATGAGATTCTCTGGTTCTGAAGAAGGCATCATAGGCTTCAATCCAGGGCTGCTTAGGCTGCTGAGGACAGGCATTAGCTGCACAGTTATGCCATGTCTCTGACTAATCAGTATTTCCATAAAGTGTGTGCATTTGATTTCCCCACAGGGTTATTCCACATCTGCCTACAGCATGGGCAGCTCTGGAAACAAAGTCTTAAAAATGAAAGTTCACAGAAACAGAAATATTTGAGACTTCATAGGACTTAGAGCCTTAGAACAGTAGAATGGTATTCCTTTATTTTGTTGAAAAATTGACGTCCCTGGTCAGCTGAATTCTAGAAGAGGCAAAAATAAATAATAAATAAATAAATAAATGAATAAATAAATTTTAAGAGAGAATGTAGGATTTTTTTTAATTTTCCATGTAGGAAGATAGTAGAGAAATGATGGTATAGTTCCACTACTAAAAGAGTTTTTTTTTTGTGTGTGTGTGTGTGTGTGAATTATTCACTCACAGCATCAATGGAAGCAAATGTGAGTTAGGATTGTCACCATGCATAAAAAAAATATGTCAGAAACTATTCGTGTCTGTGATAAGGGGAAACAGGTGGAATATTCTGGAAAGTTTGGAAACGCAAAACTGACAGGGATTAACATTGAATATGATGTGTACTTTCTGGCCATGATATGTATACTTTTAAAATGAGTAACAGAATTGAAGCGCTATGATTGTAGCTACGGAGGAGCTGGTTGGGGATGCTTAACAAATCAAGAGATTTGGACCTCTTCTATTTCAGCGGCATATTCAGCATTCAAGGAGATCTGAAAGCTGAGCAGTGAAGCATCACAGCTCAAGATCAAGAAAATCCCAAAGGTATTAATATATTCCTTAAAACGTCATTGACTAGTACAATATCACTGATGAGGGGTCTAAGTAGATGAGAGAAGGAAAGACTAGCAAAAAATGTTGAAAGTTAAAGTGCTACTTACAGATCATGTTCACAATAATGCTAGCTCCAAGGATATGTGAGTAAGAGATGGGAGGTTTCAGGGTCAGGGAGACAAACTGAAGCTAGGACAGTAACAGTGCTATTTTCAAGTGGTGTAGAAAAGAGAGGGGGAGACTTTTGGAATCCTTCAGGAAAGAAAATACTAAGATTTCATATCTTATAAGATGAAACAATGTTGCCAAAGTCTTATATTTGTTCAGTTTTATCTGGGAAGGTTCTAAATCAATTAGCATCTTTAGGTTCTGATATTTGATATATCTCTTAAAAGGGATTTGAGTAATTTGAAAGTTAGAAATATAATATAGAACTTGGTTTATATAGAAATGCTGCATTGATGGATCCAAAGCTATGACTATTTTCTTAGCATAGATAAGACAAACCATTAAAATAAAACTCCTTGGGCAAAATTTAAAAAAAAATAAAACTTAATTCACTGAGTAGGCATAGATATTTCCATCTCCAGTTTCTCAAAGTTCTTTAGAGTTCCATTATGATTTTTAATGTACTATTTTGATAATAATTATCTCAAGACAAGTCTATAGCCATATGCTTGAAGGACACATGATGGCAACATACAACATCTCTATTACTGTTAGCAGGAACACTGGTAGCTAAAACACTTTTCTTTTACTTTGGGTTAAATAAACCCCTGCTGCCCCCTAGTGACAAATTACTGGGGAACAAAACCTGTGGGTCTCTTGTTTCTCTGATGACAAAAGTGGAAGTGGGTAAAACCAAGTTGGAAAGCAGACATTTTATAAATCTCAAACTGTCACCAGTAGCTGCATAAAATGTTTGAATCTTATCAGTCAGTGGGACTGAATCAGAATGATTATTAAAATGACATCCAGAACATTTCATTAGAGACACAGCATAGTAATTTATTCGTCTTGGTTACCGAAATTCTTACTTTTAAGATCCACAAACAAAGACATCATCATGGTGCAAGCATCTAGACCTTGACCAAAAAAAAAACTACCCCGCCATATGCACTCCCTTTCATTGTCTCCCTACGGTCATTATGGTAACAGTAATTAATAGGAATAATAATAAAATCCATCATCATCTCCCTAAGAACCTCACAGCATCGTCTCTTGTTCTCACACAGCTACCCAGAAGTCAAAATTTGGGACTTCAAGGACCAAAATCGAGCCACATATTTTATTTTAACGCAGTAAATTTTCTCTTTTTGGAATTTCTTCACACAAATGTGCCAGCAGTCCTTACATCAATATAAAGCTCCCTCTGACATTATAAGAATTATTTATAACTAGATTGTAAGGTATTTTGGTTTGCATATCAGGTATTGCTGCAAGTTCTTGCCCAGCATGTAAGGGTACTACAATGAAAGGACAGCAATTAAAAGAGGATTCCATGAAGAAGGGGGTGAAGAGTATGCCATGCCACTGTGAGCAAAGTAACTCAGGCCTAATATAGAGAACGCTTTGGAGACAAAATAAGAGACTGACTTTCCCTTTGTTTTAAGAAATGTGTTTCCACTTGATATGGCTTTGATGTTATGGATCGAGTGCCAGTCTCGCATAATTGTTACATACTGTGTCACACTGAGACCCTGAACACAGAGTCTTATACAGTCTTCCCCTACGTACATTGGTGATACATGCTTTTATACCATTCCTATCCTTCCTTCTTCATGGATTTTATTACCCACTGGGATGCTTGTTTGTATCAACGTAGCATCCGAGTTTTAGTAAAGTAGTTAGATTCAAATGAATATATTTATCAAAATGCATTAGTATATAAAGAAATAGAAGATACGACTTAGACAAATCGTCAGAGAGCATGCGTATATTCCATATTGATGCACTTGTTTCACATTAAAATGTGACAAGTGATAATCAGTCAATCAAACAATTACAAAATGAGCATAGGCAGAATAGAAGAACATACCAGATTGTAAGCCATGAATTAGCCACGCTAAAGAAAAGAGCAAAATTAATGAATAAAATTAGTTGCCTTTCTCTAAGTTTGGGTGTACTTTCCTATACAACCAAGCTAATACAGAAAGTTGTTTTGAATATAAGAAAAGTATTTCTGTAATGTCTTAACAGAGTGACATAAATACATCCTTTTATAAATAAACTGTAGGCGTGAGATAATGGCTTAAACAGGGAGCTACATTTTAAGACAAAGTTTCCCTATGTGCCAAGTGAAGTTGACCAGGAAAAAGTAAGTGTAAACAGAGCTCGTGGAAGGTGGGAAGACATAAAAGAAAGTATTAACAAATTCTGATGACGTAACTCTTGAGAAATTATTTAGGCTGGGTTAACTGGATGAAACACTATTAGAAATAAGCAGAAGGGGGCCATCACCATTTGAAATGGTTAAGAATTTCCTTTGCCTACTGTGTTTTGATATACACACATCATATGTCTGACTAAAGTTGTACCACATAGACAAAACATGCAGACATCCCTCCTTCTGAGTATTTGAAATAATAAATATCTTCATCAGGCCCAAACACAGCTGGATATTTTCTAATAAGATGTGTAGAATCCAACATCAGGCTGAGTGAATGCACATGCTTCCCCAAATGTAAACACAGCATCAATAAAGCATGGTATCATTTATTTAATGGGACAAAAAGCTGGGAGATAGTGGCAGATGTTTCAATCATTTGTCATTGGCTTGCTCCATAACTCTTAGCCAGTCAATACACATTTGCTGCTTTCTGTGTCTGATTTGGTCAATGGAAACACAGTTGTTCATACTCCTTTCCAACTCATTTATAATAACTGGGCAAATTGAAAGATGGCTTTATTCAGCACATTTGCCAGGTACTTACTGCATATATAGCACCTTTACAAACAATGAGGAAAGGCTTGAAATGGTGTCCAAAGCATTTCTCAGATACCAAGAAACTGCAGATGGTAACTTGCTTTGGATAACAAGAAGTGCGACATTAATTAGTTGTTCCTACAGTGCCTTTATTAGTGTATGCTTACATGAAGACTGAACAAAAACATCCCAAGGTTGGAACTGACCTCTAAAATAC